TCTGTCTATTGTTTGTGACCTGCCTCTATGTAAGTCCTTAATAGGGCAATTCAAAGAAAAAAGCAAATCACTGACTTCAGCCCTCTAATTACTGGTAAATCAGGCAGAGGTCACTAATTAGGCAGACTGAGATCCAGAGAGCAACCACCATATGGCACTGGGCTGGACTTGTGCTCGGGGCCCTCACTGCTCTTTCAGCCTCACAGTGACTTAATTGCCCTCCGTTTCCACCCCTTCCTTATGGGGTCTTTGTTTGACTTAGGAGAACACGTTTTGTGGTAGGCTAAGCTGCTTAGCAGACTAGAGATGGATGTCTGCTTGCTAGCTAATTCCTTTTAGGTTGTGCTGTTAAAAATCTGCGCTTGAGGACAAATGATAATATGTAAGAATACCAAATAGAAACATTAGGATAGGTATTCAGGGTCATGGCCGGTAAAATATCTTGAATATAGAAAAATTCAACCTTCCTGTCAAAGGTTATTAAGCCTACTTCTAGATATTTCACTAATTTCAAGCTATTTCAAAAGAAATGGTTTTATTCTACTGGCAGATAATTTTGCTTATTTCAAGCATTTACTTCTAGAAATAAGCAAAACTATCTAATAATAGAATAAGACCATTTTGAGCTTGGAATTATTAAATATGAGAAGAAATAGGTGTAATTTTCTTACATTTGTTATATGATAATCTCAAAATATGAAATATTAGATAACCTTTCCTTTATTCAAAATATCTTCACTGTGTGTAACATATCATATTTCTAAAGAATGATACTGGATGCTCACATGTTGAAGCTCAAAACTCGTTAGCACAAAACAGCAGGACAGGAAAACAAACAGTGCATAAGCAAACTAAACCAAAGTCTTTTATTCTTCACTTTTTGGATGAACCTAATGCCAAACCGTGTGACTGATTGATCCACCCCTAGATGGACAGTAAAGATTAAGAGGATGACAAATGGGCATTTGCTTACACAGCGCTTGCTGCTAATCCCCTTGTCTTCCTTTAGGGAGCTCGGCCTGGACAGGGACTCATACACACTTCAGCATCACGAGAGGCAGGATGAGCAGGTGACAGGCCTCACTGGACATTACTTTAGCAACAGGCAACAGGTTCTGGAGAACAAATCAGAGCGAAGTGAGAATTTCATCAGGATTAAAAGACACACTGGAAAAGTAAATCCATTGGAAAGCCAACCTTTAGGAGTCCACTTAAGATCACTTCTCCTCTACTCTTTATTTAGCTTAATGGAGGATCCCATTTTGAAGATCTCCATGATGCCTTCCACATCCCCCACAGACTCCTCTAGGAGCAGCTCCACAGAGGAGAGTCAGGGAGGTGAGTTAAAAAGCTTCCTACTGTTTTTTTTTTTGCCAGAATTTATTTAGCAACATGTATACTTTATTTAGTTAGGTTTGGTTTACACTGTGCATTTCTCACTGTGCATGCAACAGTTCCATCTTTTTGCCTACTTGGAACAACTGGAGAAAATCAAAACTTGCAGAAATTTTGTGTTTCCCAAATATCCATTAAGCCAAGAATTCTAAAAATAAAAAGTCGTGTTTCTGTAAAATTTACATTTTCTAAATAGATCCTTGTACTCTGTATAAAATAATTGAGTTGTTTCGTGTGTACAGGTAAAAGTCCAGCTCCTGGTAAGAGCCTGAGTCAAGGCCTGCTGTGTAAGGTGTGTGCAGACACTAGCAGTGGAAAACACTATGGGATCTATGCCTGCAATGGCTGCAGTGGCTTCTTCAAGCGCAGTGTGAGACGTAGATTAATCTACAGGTGAGGAGAACAACAAAGAGCTCTACAAAATATGGGACAGCTTTATATTGCCTATATGTCATACTATTATGATAAACTTGCAGGTGCCAGGCTGGTACAGGTATGTGTCCAGTAGATAAAGCCCATCGTAACCAGTGCCAGGCGTGTCGTCTAAAGAAATGCCTTCAAGCTGGCATGAACAAAGATGGTGAGTTGGATTTCCATATGTCCCTCTTAATGGATTGCTTTTCCATATTCTCCTGACCTGTCACTCTCTTTCTAACATTAGCTGTGCAGAATGAGAGGCAGCCACGAAGCACAGCTCAGGTCAGGTTAGACACCTTGGATATAGATACAGAGAAGGAACACCTAGCCACCACCAGGGAGCCCACATCCTCCTCGTCCATTTGTTCTGTGATAAGCAGACCTTTACTGGGCTCCTCCATTAGCTCCAGCATCAACTCCATTGGCCCTAGCCAGTGCAGCAGCAGCCCCAAGAACAGCCACCGTTTCATGGCCAGCCTGATGACAGCTGAGACATGCGCCAAGTTGGAGCCTGAGGATGGTAGGGACACAAAGAGTAACAAACCAGTCATGAAAAACACTGCATTTCTTTTTTGGTATTCTTAAAGTTGTTATATAATGATGTTAGGGTAGAATTTGGGCCTACAATTCTACTCAGGTAATGATTCCCAATGACTAGAGTATCTCACCTATAATTCACAGCAGTATTGCATTCTCTTTCTCTGGCTCTGTAGTGGATGAGAATATTGATGTAACAAGTAATGAGCCGGAGACGAGCTCTCCAGAGAGCAACACGACTCTTTATCCCTATTCTGGCCCTGAGAGCATATATGAGACCTCCGCCCGCCTACTCTTCATGTCTGTCAAATGGGCAAAGAACTTGCCGGTCTTCTCCCACCTGCCATTTAGGGACCAGGTACAAGCTATTTTTCTTCTTTTGCTGTAAATTGTTGTATGGAAACCCATAAATAACAACAGCACTTACATATTACTCTGTATTTATAATTGTTAATCATTAACCATATAGTAGGATTTATCTGAAAGCTTGCCAGTTTGTAACTCATAACCATTTCAACATCTTTCTGCCTCCTTGTTTATATAGGTGATATTGCTAGAGGAGGCATGGAGTGAGCTATTCCTCCTCTGTGCCATCCAGTGGTCCTTGCCGCTGGAAAGTTGCCCCCTGCTTTCTCTACCCGAGCTGTCTCCTCCCTCACAGGGTAAAAGCAGCCCCTGTGCCTCTGATCTGCGCCTCCTGCAGGAGCTCTTCAGCCGCTTCAAGGCTCTGCAGGTGGACCCTACGGAGTTCGCCTGCCTGAAAGCAATAGTTCTCTTCAAACCTGGTGAGTTCTCTGATCTGATTTATTGTCTGTGTATAATTACTATGTATTGCTGAAATTGATACAGACTGGCTCTTACATTAAAACAGAGACAAGTGGCCTCAAAGACCCAGAACAGGTTGAGAATCTACAAGACCAGTCTCAAGTAATGCTTGCTCAGCATATTCACACACTCTACTCCAGTCAAGCAGCAAGGTGAACACACACACACACACGTACAAACAAAAACCAAATATACTTATATAAATATGAATACACATAGAAATAGAAAATATAATCAAACTATTTGTGTTCCTCAGGTTTGGGAGGCTGTTGTTGCTCCTTCCCTCTTTACACTTTATAAGTTCAGAGAGGATCGAATTGCTCTTCTTCCACAGAACTATTGGAAACACACCCATGGAGAAGTTGCTCTGCGACATGTTTAAGAACTGAAAATCACTTGATCTTAGGCACAATATTATCCACACTGAAGCATAAATCAGGTGATTTTACTGTAGTAATAAGATGCCTGTCAAAGCAATTACACATGAAATGGGAGAATGTTATACATATTGTTCCTCATTAATGCCAGAACTGGTCACGACCATGACCATTCAAGCTGCACCAGCCGGATCAGTTTTACCTGCATGGTCTTGCAGGTTAACCAGCTACATCACCACCAGACCAACAGTAATCATAACATACCAGCTTGGACCAGCATCAAATTCATTCCAGACTAATCTGTTTTAGCAGGTTTATTCTTAAATATTTATATTATAGTTTGTACTTTTGTTACTGCTCACACTCTGCTTTTGTTAATGTATGAAATTGTATTAGGTAGAGCACATAGCCAATCGCTGTTTAATGTGTCTATGTAAGTAAACTGCAGTATTGCCTTTTCAGCTTTTCATAATGCAAATATATATTTTGATAAAATCTTTCAACCACAAGACAAACCTTGTTTTTTGTCTGAAATCCAAAGACAGTTCTTGCTAGGTTCACAGATAAGCATCTTATTTTCATTACAACTGTAAGAATTCAAAAAACAATTCAGATTGTGATAAGTGGTCTTATGACGTTTTTAGTGTGTGAATTGGTCACTGGTCCTTAATACAACATAATACGCTTTGAAAATGGCGGTTCAGTTATTTAATGTTTTCTCAAGGTGGCATGACAGCACAGTGGTTAGCATTGATGCCTTACAGCTCCTCACACAGGAGCTCGTGTTCTCCCAGTTTCCATGTGGGTTTCCTCCCACCTTCTAAAAACATGACAGCAGGTCAATTGGCTATGCTAAATTAAATGTGAACATGTGTGTGTGTGTGTGTGTGTGCATGATGCCCTGCTATAGTCTGCAATGGTCTGGCATCCCATTTAGTGTGTATCCCCACCTCATGCCCAGTTCTCAGGATAGACATTGGAAGAACCATACACCTGACCAGGATAAAGGTTACTGAAGATGAATGAATCTTCATTCATCTGTTTTCTAAGAACAGAAAATAACTGTTTGCTTGACTGAACCAGTCATCATCATTTACACTATTAGAAAACATCCCAATAACTACAACTCCTCTGTGGCATATCAAATAATAAATTACATCTATAGCTAGCAAATCTGCATGATTAAATGTGTTGACTTGGGCACATGGGTGGTACAGGGAGGCAGTTGAAATTAGCTTTGACATACCAATTGCCACTCAATTTGTGGGGAGCCTGGAGCCTATCTCAGGGGACTCAGGGCACAAGGTCTGGACAGGGTGCCAACCCCATTGTGGGGGGCACCATCACACAGACAATTTGGAAATGCTAATCAGCCTACAATGCCTGTCCTTGGACTGGGGGAGGAAACCTCCCAAAGCACATGGGGAACATGTAAACTCTGCACACTCAGGGCGGAGGAGGGATTTGAACCCCCAGTCCTGGAGGTGCAAGGCATCAGTGCTAACCACTAAGCCACCATGCCCCCCACTGTGACTTTCTTTACTCCTATACAATTTGTACAGGCAGATAAATAGCTTGATGGATCATATCTAGCTCATTTGAATTAAATCATCATCGTAGTGTTTTTAAATATTTTGGCCAAATCCTATGAGTGTTGCAACACAGCACAGATTTCCTGGAGTACTCTCTGTCCCTCATATTTCAGTGTTTTCCCTGCTCTAACACACCCGATTAAACTGATCAGGGAAAATATTAAACTGTGTAGGACTGTAGGTTATCCAGGATCAGGGTGGGAAACCTGTGCATTAGAGAAACTAATGATATTCTGCAAAATCGTGTACAGTTACATGGTGTCACCCGAACACCTTAAATTCCAACTATGTTTAGATGGAGGAATAAACTCGTATTCAAACTAGATTTTTTTCAGTATAGGAAAAATTCACCTCCAGCCCACTAGAGGGAACAGTCAGACAAGGGTTTATGACTCTCAAGCCCACTCCAGGCTTCAGGCTACCTAGTGCACTACATATCCAATGAGTAGTGTAATGGGATTCGGTACGTTTCCAAACACGGAAGTAGTGTTTATGTTAGCGGAAACGATGGAAAGGTAGTTACTACCGTTAACACATCAAAGAAGATATCCTTTTTTAAAAAAAATTATTGACCGAAAATGTTTGGCAGGTCTTCAGGTTTTAACTATGAGATTCTGCCACAGAGAGATGACGGAAATAGAAATACTCCAGGCCTGTTTACATCCGGTCAGTCTCAGTATAACAGCGGCTTCTCCTTTGACTACGTCCCTAAAATCCAAAACAACGATTTTACAGATGAAAGTCAAGGAGTAATATCACGACTATGCAACTTGGTTGTTATATTCCTAGTTTTTCTTTGTACGCTCATCACATTTCCCATATCTGCATGGTTTGTTTTAAAAGTAAGTCTTTCTTACATCTTAAACACTATACATTTGTGTATCTCAGTCTCAGGATGCAGCGTTCAAGTTTACTGTTATGTGTGACGTAAAATATGAGCGTTCAAGTACAAATAATACAACATAATAAGAAATATAAAGTTATTTTAAAGTGTCACAATGATGCAGGGAAAGACGGCATGGTTAAAAAAAAACAACAACAGCCAATATGTAGAAAGTACAAATGTAGACATTCTATACAGTTAAATTTTATTTATATAGTGAATTTCTTAATAAACATTCACAAAGTAGCTACAGGTATCCAGACTGTGGTCAAGATTCCTGATGAGCAAACCAGAAGCGACACTAGTAAGGAAATTGTGCTGAGAAGGAATAGGGATGAAACTTTCAAAAGAACCAGACTTAAAGCCATTCTTTTCTGGATGATACAGGATAGTGGGCTTTTAATAATTAGCCTCCAGTATAAAGTCATACAATGGAAATACAGAAAAGTACAGGATGGTAAGGATGAGCATATTGTCTATAGTCTTGAGGTGAGCAGGAGATATGGTTGAATGTAGTGAAGCATGTACAATAGAGTAATAATGAGACCAGTATGGAATGCGTGGAATAAATTAAGGTTATGAAGAGGTGGGATACTGTGTAGGGAACATATAAAAGGTGTAAGAGAAACACTCACTGGGAAAACTTTGTTTTTGAGGTGAGTAGTGTGCACTATGCAAAGTGTAATTCAGTTTGTAATGTGTGATTGATTTATTTTATTATTATTTTTTTTTAAGACAGTGCCCAACTATGAGAGAATTGTTGTATTCCGCCTGGGTCGCATCCGGCCTCCTAAGGGTCCAGGAGTGGTTTTAGTGCTTCCGGTCATTGACCAGTGGCAAAGGGTGGACCTAAGAACCAGGGCTTTCAACATCCCACCATGCAAGGTACTAACAAACACTGCAACTGACTTGTGCTGCCCATTTTTGGCTGCCATTGAACCAGTTTCCTCTCTGCAAACTCTCAAGAAGATCACATGGTCTGATAAACAACATTTTCACTGATGCTATAAAAGTAGCTCAGGCTTTCCTCATTATTTGAATCAACAATGGATTTTCAGATTCCACTTTCTTGTACCAGGTGACCATGAAAGACGGTGGCCTGGTCTCTGTCGGAGCGGATATCCAGTTCCGGATCTGGAATCCGGTCATGTCTGTGGTGGCGGTGCAGGATTTAAAGGCTTCCACACGCCTTACTTCACAGAACGCTATGACTCAGACCCTGGGCAAGAGGACTGTGAGAGAGATACAGACAGAGAGAGTCAAACTGGGCGAGCACCTTGGGGTAAGAGGCCAAACCAGATCAGATTTCTTTAGTATTTATATGCAAGTGCATTGTAGGTTTTGCAGGCTTTACTGTGCATGAAGAATGTTATGCATTAATAAACATATTATTTGATCTGGGCTCTGGGGAGCAAAAAGATGGACAGACTCCAGGATCGTAGATCATTACAATCATGGCATGTCTTGCAGATGGACATAAATGATCTGACAAAGCCTTGGGGTTTGGAGGTGGACCGGGTCGAGCTGACCCTGGAAAGTGTGCTCCATGCCCCAGATGAGTCTCACTCAGGACCGCTCATCATGCCTCCCTCTGTCCCTGGCCTAGAGGGTCTCACTGGGCCTATACAGCAGCTCACCATGCACTTTCTGGGGCAAAGTGCAGCAGCATCTCCACCTGCTAAAGGTGCATTTAGACACTGTGCATCCAGGTCAATTCATTTACAGTGTTCTCACATCAGCATCGTCATATGGGCTTGTGTGTATGTCTGTGCAGATACAGTGCTCTTCACTGACGAGTTGAGCACAGAGGCTTCAGTAACTGAAAGCAGCAGTGTGATAGAGGAGCTCCTGGCAGCAGTGAGACTGGTGCTGTCTGAGAGCTTGGTTAGGCAAGTGGGAGCCTGTTTCCAGTTTCACATCAGTACCAGCACTGGCCAAACCAGAAGGTACTATGTGGATCTAACTCAAAGTAAGTACAGCAACACATTTGTGTAGCCTAAAAGGCATTTACATTTATAATATAACATGAAAGTGTTAATTCATCAAATTACCCACAGACTCATAATTTCATGTTGGTCAAAATGCTCACCAGGCTTGTGTAGTCTGGAAGGTCACAACTGCTTACAGCAACATTGGTTTCTAGATTATTAGATCTGTAGATTAAATTAAAAATCTGTAGATTAATAATCAGATTGTTAAATCTGGTCATGATTATTTATTTTCCTCACTGCTGATGACATTTTTTTTGCATGTTCAACTATCTTGACAGATAGTCCATCATTTTCTTTCCACAATGGTGGTCACAGCAAACGAAGTGCATGCTTGGCATGTCATTTTAACAACTACTAATACATGCAAAACTAATAAGAACTGATACAAAATAATATGAATTAAAGTACTGTAGGTTTTAGTATTTTAAAAATGTCACATGCATATTAAGTAACGTTGTCAGAATATATTGTGTAATTTTGTTATATGAGTATTACATAGGCCAATATTGTGGTAGTAAGCGACAAGCAACATACTGTGTAGCCCTAATTTGACCATATATATTTAACCATTTATCTTACTGACTTTTTAAATTTCTTTTTATTTTACTCGGTAAAGCAGGTGATGTACCATTTAATGTTGAATAATGTTATAGAAATTCTCTCTGATCTATCAATTTCAATGTCCCTCAATCTCCAGATAGTGGAACATGTGGTGTAGGTGAGGTGACGCAGCCTGACGTGTCTCTGAGTATGAGTGAGCAGGATATGATGGCCATGTTCCAGGGCAGCCTGCGGCCAATCGCAGCATACAGCAGTGGAAGATTGAGAGTTCAGGGAGACTTGAACACTGCTATGAAACTAGACGCACTTGTTAAACTCATCAAGCCTCTATAATGTCTAGTTACACATGAATTTAAAGGTGTGTTTCGTGCCTTCACACCCCACAAACTTGTGTTACCATTTCAAATGTAAACAAAACTGTTTATATCATTTGGTGTTGTGACTTAATCATTTATCATAGCTAAATGATATAATAATAAATATATTAGGGTTGCTGTAAAAAATAGTATGAAAATTGAGCATCTGGATTAATAATTAGGACAGACCTTAATACAAGCATTCTTTCAAGTAAATCTCAAAAAAAGGGGAAAAAAAATCCCTGTGAAAAATTTCTGTATGTGTGAACCTAAAATGCACTGTTTAAAAGTACTACTGTGTGTATGTTTGTAATTAAATGTTTATTTAAATTTCATGTTTTAGGTATTTAATTTTTTTATATCAGTTTGTAGTATATATGTTTCGGGTGCATGATCACATTTCGTATATGTTAATATATGTTCTTTACAATAAAAATGATGAAAATCACAGTTTGAGACTTGGTTCGTTTTGTTTTTTGTAGTACTGCTCTTGAAGGTCATGTGTGCATTGGTGTGTGGCTGGCTCTGATCCTCACCTCTATGGCCTTCTCTGCCTATACACACATGTTTATGGAGAAAACTCCCACAAGGCTACTCTGTACCATTATTAAACCTATGGTTTCCTGCAAGAGCAGTAGTTGTGCAGTGCCCCAGTTACTGAGTTGGAGAAGGACACCTGATCATAACTACCTGGGCCTGTGTTTACAAAGCTTCTTAGAATTCTCTCAGAGAGCTCCTATCTTAGCCTAAAAAGTCCTGGCTGAGAGTCCTAGACTAAAAGTGATTTAGGAAATGATTGGTTGATAAAAAACTATCTGTAAAGGTCTTAAAATGCGCTCTTTGTGAAAATAGAATATACGATAACAGAATGGACGGTGAAATCATAAACTGTTTGTATTAAGAAATTGTATAATCATGAATACAGGCTACTTTATGCTAGTTAATTAAAACAGTCAAATGTTGAAAATGTGTCTACTTTTGAAGCAACCAATTTCCACGCAGTAGTTACTATATTTAAGTTCTTACATTTATTTACGATACTGATTTTATTACTAATCCATTTCAGATTGCTGGGAGCAAAATGGCTCACCTTTTACCAATTTACATGACTGCAGGACATGGAACGAAGTAAAAGAACA